TTTAGGGTTTAGGGGTTTAGGGTTTGGGGTTTGGGGTTTCGGGTTTTCGGGCTTTAGGGTTTTCGGGCTTTCGGGCTTCGGGCTTTAGGGTTTAGGGTTTAGGGGTTTAGAGGTTTAGGGTTTGGGGTTTCGGGCTTCGGGCTTTAGGGTTTAGGGTTTTCGGGTTTCGGGCTTCGGGCTTTAGGGTTTAGGGCTTGGGGTTTCGGGCTTCGGGCTTTAGGGTTTAGGGTTTAGGGTTTAGGGTTTCGGGCTTCGGGCTTTAGGGTTTAGGGTTTTGAAGGGATTTATAGGGTTCAGGGTGTTGTCTAGAGTTGTAGTAGGGTTTGTAGGGCTGTAAGGACAACGAAGGAGTTCAGACCCCAGGGCCCTGGGTTTCGTAGGGTTTGTACGGCTGTAAGGTTTAGGGCTTCGGGCTTCGTGGGGGTTTTATGGTTTTTTTGTAGCGCTTTGTAAAATCAGGTTTTTGTAAGGACACGTGAGGATTCGTAGGGATTCCTCAAACTCGTGGTACGTACTACAAGGGCTTCTGCGAACGGAGAAAATAGTATGAGCACTAGGTTTCGAGTCTACTTAATGGATCATGGGACTTAGTAAGTAGGGTTATAACAAAGGTAACCATACAATTTTGCTTATAACCCCAATTTAGGGACTTATAACCTTACTTACTAAGTCCCATGGTCCTCCAAGTATTGAGGGCTTTTTGACTTAGGGCAGAGCTTAACAACGCTTGCATCTGAAGCCCGTTCACAGGACCCGGATTTGGCGTGCGGTCACCTACAGAGTACTGCTGTTGAGGATTTAATCCTGCATTACCTTAAGGACCTTAAACTATGGGAATTACGATACATTCCGTATATTATTTTGGGTGATGCAGGATGCATATCATGAACGGTAAATCACTATAGATTGGTTTGCCGTGGCTTGCGGCCACGGACAACGCATGTTCGTTAAACCCTGGGGCCAGAGTCCTTCCAGGAAGAGGCTGGGCTTCAGGGCTAAACTGAGGGTTTAGAGTTTCGGGTTTAGGGCGTCGGGGTTTCGGGTTTAGGGATTAAGTTGAGGGCTTCGGGCTTAGGGTTTAAGGTTTTTAAGGCCCAGCGCAAACCATTACAGCTTGCAGCGGCTGGCAAGCAGTGTCACTTCCTGATACTGCAGCTCGATTGATATCGTGGTTTCTCCAGTGTCCCGTTAACTCTAAGGATGCCTTTTTCTCGGATTTCAGTTTTAACAAAGGGGGGGGGCTTTTAAAACAAAAGGGCCAAGGGGTACGGGAGCGTGCTTTACCACTGAGGAACCTAGTATATGTTCTGCTTCTGAAACCGTGGGCCTCCAAGTGCGACCGGAACTCGTCACTGACCTGAGCCGGCGAATCTCAGGCAAAGAGACCTGGCGCCTTCGGGTTTCGATTTAGGGTTGCAGGGCACAGAACCCAATAATTATAGCAAGAACCCTTACAGTAAACTATTCTCCATGTGATTTGAGGAATGCGCCGTATTTCAAAGGTACTGGGCTCTGCGGGCAACTAGCCACAGGAGGGGGCAGAAGAGCTGTACGAACCCCACCCCAGACCAGACAGTGCTGTACTTGTAATTTGTACTTCTGCCTAGGTCTCCGGGTCCTTCATTTTCAATTTTTATGCGCTTGGACATGCACTAAACCCTAAACCCTAAACCCCTAAACCCTAAACTCCTAAACCCCTAAACCCTAAACCCTAAACCCTAAACTTCTAAACCCTAAATCCTAAACCCTAAATGGCAGTCCTTGCCTGGAAACGCTCGGGCAGCAGCGCAGCAAGCTGCCGCCTTAGCATCCAGGGCCGCTCCCGAGCCGAACGAATGTAGGGGCCATAATAATCCGATTAGGGTTTAGGGTTTAGGGTTTAGGGTTTAGGGTTTAGGGTTTTGAATAGGGGCCTCGATAATTAGAATAAGGTTTTGGGGGGCTCCTTATTACAACTATAGTATAATATACCCTTTAAACCCTATTCTGATTATTAAGGCCCCTATATTACTAGCTTGCGCATGGGATTTTCAAGGTGTACTTGGAGGTTCATGGGTAGTTATAAGTAGGGTTATAAGTCCCCGAAAAGGGGGTATAATTATAGTTACCCTACTTATAACCCCACTTATAACTACCCATGAACCTCCAAGTAGGAGTGCAGGGTTTGGTCAAGGGTTCAGGGTTTAAGGTTGATTCAGAGCGCCCACTGTCCCCCTAACATAGAATGTACTACGGCTGAATATATAAACTCTGCATTTCCCATAATAAGGAATATACCATAATTCCCATAGTTTAGGTCCTTAAGGGAATGCAGGATTTATATCATCAACAGCATCTTACATCATAGCAAAGCAAAAGGCACTGTTTGATTTTCGAGATTCGGTAGGGATTAAGGAACTTCGGGTTTAGAAGAACTCTTGTCTCAGCAGCTGACTGGACCAGCAGCGGAATGCACCATTTAACGTTACTTAAAGGATCATGGGACTTAGTAAGTAGGGTTATAATGGAGGTAAACTATGCTTATATCTACTTATCACCCCAATTAAGGGACTTATAACTACTAAGTCCCATGATCTTCCAAGTAGCGCTTCTTGCCCTACGCTTGGCCTTGAATTCGCCAGCCCCAACCCTCAACCCAAGCCTTAGATGCCCCACTTGCCTAAGTGCTAGGAGCACAAAATCCGACGGCTTGGTGCATCACCAAGAAAGGGCTAACCAAAACGTAAACGCTTGAATGCCAATCCCATTTTTCGGAGCCTTGTACTGGGATCCCGCCTGTGGTCCTGATTCAAGCAGGTGGTTAGTCAGGGGTCCACACTACTTGGAGGATCATGGGACTTAGTAAGTAAGGTTATAAGTCCCTAATTGGGGTTATAAGTATAGTTACCCTAATTATAACCCTACTTACTAAGTCCCATGATCCTCCAAGTAAGCAGTGAGGACGTGCGGCCCAACGCCAGGATTCAATAGTTGGAGGACCACTGGGTGGGGTTTAGGGTTTAGGGTTTAGGGTTTAGAGTTTAGGATTTAGGGTTTAGGGTTTAGGGTTTAGGGTTTAGGGTTTAGGGTTTAGGGTTTAGGGTACAGGACCCAGTAAGTCAGGTAATAAGCACCTTAATTGGGGTTAGACGGTAACTATCATAAGAGCTACCTAGTTTGTAACCACCCTAAACCCTAAACCCTAAACCCTAAACCCTAAACCCTAAACCCTAAACCCTGACCACCTGCTTACGAAGTCCCATTTAAATACGTCAGAAGCAACATCGAGTACTCCCAGAGCTCGAACTATGAGTCGCTCAGCGAAACATCTTAACAAGTCTAAGGTTTTGGGTTCAGGGTTTAGGGCTTTGGGTTTAGGGTTTAGGGCCTTGGGTTTAGGGTTTAGGGTTTAGGGTTCTGAATTTATTGCAACGAAGGAGTGTAGGGTATGGGGTTTAGTCTTCAACCCCTTCTGCGGCTTCCTATCGGACACCCTGCCAGGCACTGAACTAGCACGCAAATCTTGGACCTAGACACCCTGAGCCCTAAACCTAAACTCAAAGTGGACACCCTGGACCCTAAACCCTGAAGCCTTGAATCGTGTGACCCCTAAACCCTTAAAACCCTTGCCAAGGTTTAGTTAGGTTTTAAAGGCTTAGGCGGTTTAGGGTTTAGGGTTTAGAGGGTTTAGCGGTTTAGGGTGTAGGGGTTTAGGGTTTAGGGTTTAGGGTTTAGGGTCTTTAACCACAAAGAGCCAAGCTGCCACTTCCACTCCTCCCGCGCCCCAAACCATGCGCCCCGAGCCGCCGCGCACTTGGCGATCTCGGATTGCCGTTTGAGACTTTCGGCTTGAAGGGCTTTTTCAGCGTTTAGGGCGTAGGGGTTTGGGGTTTAGGGTTTAGGGTTTAGGGTTTAGGGTTTAGGGTTTAGGGTTTAGGGCTTAGGGTTTGTAGGGTTTGGGTTGGATTTTGGGGTTTACGCGCTTGGGGCGCCCAGCGACTGGAGATTCCCCTTGTGCTCAGCATACATCGCACATATTTTCTCGCGCCTAAACCCCAAGCCCTAAACCCTAAACCTGAAACGCCAAGTCCTAAACCCTAAACTCCAAACCAAAAGCCCTAAAGCCTAAACCCCAAGCCCTAAAGCCTAAACCCCAAGCCCTAAGCCCTAAACCCTGAAACCTAAGCCCCAAGCCCTGATCCGTTCTTGTCGGGCTCTTGACACCGGCTCGAGGGCTGCACAAAGGGATTTGGGTTTCAATGGGGCTTGGGATCTGCAGGCTTTGTTAAACACTGAACCTTCAACCCGAAGGTTTAGGGGCTTGGGGCTTCGGGTTTCAGAGCTTTG